ATCTTTTCCTTATGCATTTCCGCCTCATTATGAAGTCGGATGGCCATTTTGGGTTCTATTATTGGTCAATAAACAGGAAAGAGAAGTGCTAAAATATACATCATTTGTTGGAACAAAGCTGGAAAAAATAAATATGAAGGTCAATTAAATGATAAAACATGAGGTAATGTTCTCTTTTTAAATTAATTGGTGCATTTTAATTGTACTCTTTTAATTTATTGGTGTATTTATATATTTCTGCCTTTATTTTTAATTATGTCAGTGTTGGTCCTCCGTATTTTAAAGCTTTTGAGATGAAAAAAAAAATCAAAAATAATGACTCATTTTGCCAACAAGGGAAATATTATAATAAGACTTAAATGTCCAACACATTTTACACACTCCAGTCCTCTTGTCATGTATGAACTGAAGCAGCTGTGATTAAACCCAGAACCAGAGACTTGACAGACAGATGCTCCTCCCACTTCATGTTTCACAGCATAAATCCCCACAGGGGGAGATAAACGCTATACCGCCACATTAAAACAGTCAAATCAAAATCCAGAAACCACAACCAAAACACTCTGTATAAAGCCAAACATCTGCAACGTGTAAGTTCATCTAACCCTCGCTGGAGCTTCAGGTGCAAGAAGGAAACCCCCCACCAATCATTCTGAGCCTGACCTCACGTTTAAGGAATGCCCCGGGGTAAAACCAGGTTGTTCTGATCCATGTCGTGACAGAGGAGTATTGTGTGGGACAAAGAGTTCTGGGAGAAAAGCTGCAGTTTCACTCCAGCTGGGCACCAAAAATACCTGCCCGTCCCTCCAGACTTTATGTGGGCATCATAAAACACCCTTTGTGCTTCCCGGACCGTTAACCTCAGCGCAGCACTCTGCTCTATCTCTGGGGGCCTAATGCCTGTTACGCCTCTTCACACTCCGAGGAGATGCAGCGTCAACATCTGAGCACATCGTTAACAGTCTGGAAAACAGCTTACAGAACAGCTAAAATGATATAATGATCAACAAAGTCAGCTTGTTACAWTGATAAATATCCACGGCTATTAGCTAGAGGACTTTAGGTTCATTTGTCTGTAGCGTTAGCAAAAYATTTCATGGAAGTCTCAGGAAGTAACCATCGCATGTAGGATTCAAGATCAACAGCTGATAAAATGAACAGAAAAAAAACCAGCTAAAACTTGTTTAATATAAAAAAATAATGAGATAAATTTTGGTGTGGTTGTAGCTGAGTCATCCCCAACATGCACTCGGAGCACGCACACTGATCGAGCAAGGTATGCACTCATCTGTTAGCAAAATATCTCAATCACTGGTTGAAATTWAATGAAACTTTCAGTAATGAACGACTGAAAGCACATCTGGAACTGATTAACTTCTGGAGTCGAACAAAAACGGTGGCAGCACCCGGACCCGACAAAAAAATCATCCTCATCTTCCAGCATGTCCTCGCCTCAAAGATGGGGGTCCGGTCATATCCGAAACTGATCAGCATCCTCTTTATTTTCAGTCAACCCAACAACATGATTCGAGTGGTCCGCCCAGCTGGAAGCAGGGACTCTGATCAAAAAACTGTTCACATTGGACTCGGATAAAACTGGGTTCCCCCGATACGGAGAGTAGTGAGTCTTGCCCGGTATGGGTTGGTAAACATCACCCTACAAATACTCAAACACACTAAAACAGACTAAATTAAAGGCTAAACACAGTAAACTACACCCTATCTATAAAATCAAATTAAACATCACAAATCTCTGAAATCTTGTTACCTTCTCTAGATTTTGCTCTCTCTCTCCATCACTGCCAAACTTCATTCAATTTTTGCATCTTTTTCCTGAAGATTTTTTTAACGTTTGACAAATACTTTCAGGCCTCAGTCAGAAAAGAGTTGGGGGGTTGTAAGTTTGTTCGGCGTGGAAGCAGAGGGTGGACTGAGGTGGTTTTTTCCTGAGTCTGCCTCTCTTTCCAGCTGCCTACCGCTGCAATGTGCTTCAACGACGACCATTTAATTTAAAAAAAAGGGTTGTTGATTTTTTATCATAACGCTGGTGTTCCYGGGCCGATCAACACAGTTTTAAAACCTGGTTTATAGTTTTTTAGTCTCTACTTTTGACTCAAATTGAAACAAATTAGAGAGAGCGGCTCTTTCCAGCTGGAGCTTCTAGCTACTTTAGGAGGTTAATCGTCATAATCGTTATCAACTAAATGCCACAATTAATGGTGAATTTTTTTGTTAATATCGGTGAGAAAGCAGCCCCCCCACAGAACTTAACTTACCTCCTCAGGGTTGAGCAACAAAGCTGGCGACAAATACACAAGCTTCAAGCTCCGCCCACTTTAGGAAACACAACTAGTGTCAGTCAATGTCACAGATATTGAGCTGCAAATTGGCGTGGAAGACGCTGATTATACTCGTCCCATTCAGAAGGCAACAGGCGGGTTTTTAATTTTATCTGGCAGGTATGGGGTTTTCTTAAGATGAAGATGTTTGGACAATCAGACACAAAAAGAGAGGTGACTCATATCAAACCATTTGCTGCGTCTTCACAGTTTACAAACTGTTTGTAAACGAGTCAGAACGCAGGAATGAGGGACGACTCATCTGGCGACCGGTCGCTGACCTGCCCCGAGAGCCGAAGGTCTGAGTGTTCTTTGAAAAAAAAAACGTTTTCTAAAAACTGCGGCRTTTATCTGGCTGCTGCAGCGAGGAGGGGAAATTCTGAAAAGTTCTTCTGTGGGAGGATAACCCTTCCACTCTGGAGGAGGACTCCATGTTTATCCTCCTCTGCCAAAAGGAAAAGGCTGTTAARGAGGCCAAATACCAGATACAGAAACCTGAGATAAGACCTCTCCTCAACAATGGAGTCGGCGGACAAATGAGACAAACGTCTGACTTCCTGTTGTCACTCCAACATAAAAATAAGAGCAGAGTTGGTGAGGGAAATCTCAACGGTTCAAAAGGCTTGAAGCGTTCCTCTTTAACGTCTGCCAACAACAGCAGAAGTTATTTTAAAGTGTTTGTGTTCATATCTGAGTGTCTGTTAGCAAAATATCTCATGAACCACAGGCTGGGTTTTAATGAAACTCACAGCTGATTAATGTTTGGAACCTGGTTCAAGAGGAGTTCACCGAACAGGAAAATGGTTATAAATCAGATAATGAGCTGAGATTTTGAGTGGTAGTAATCCCCAAATCATACTCCGAGGACTAAAATTAAAACTATGGTGTTAGAGGTGGGAGGTGTTATGTATTCCTTCGTTAAATTGATGAAAAATACAACAAAAGCAGCCTGATAGAGTAAAAACATACTGAACTTTGATTCCCAAACAGCCATTTTATAAAAAGATTTTTAGATCCTGTTTATCTGCTGCAGTTAGTTTTTATTTTGTTTTTCCTTTGTGCTTTACACGTCCAGCTTCCTCACTTTAAATACGAAATGCAAAAAAAATAAAAATAAAAAAGTTTAGCAAGATACCCTAGCGAAGAACTATCAATGCTACTCTAAAAGATGACGCAAACGTTTGGCTCCTTCAGAGTTTCAGCATCTTTTTTTCCAACAATAACCCTCTAAATCAAAGCTAACAGATAAACGACCCATTAGATCACGAAACAGATAAAAAGTCAGATGGAGCAGAATTTATGATCTCAGTCGGCTGTTTGAATCTGCCAAAAGTCAACCGCAGCTCCTGAGAATCCAGTCATAAAAACCTCCTTGAAAGCATTTTTTTTTAAAGTTTACCCTCTCTGAACGTCTCGTCTCTTTCTGCCCGAGGCGATGAGGTTCATTCTGCGTGACTCAGCCCAGAGAAGCTTTCATTTGATGAACGAGTCACCGTCACCTTCCCAGTAGCGACYGTATTTGTTTTACTTAGAAAGCTAATTAAACTGGGTCGACGTGAGGCTGTGAAACAGGACACGCCATCAGAGTTTAGGCACRGGAACATGAAGGCGAACAACAAAACACCACATTTCTCTCTGTTCCAAAGCATCCAAAGAGCTCTGCCTGAAAACTTCTTCACTAGTTTGAATTAAAGTTCATGTCTGAAGAAATKACAGTAATTATTGAAATAATGAGGCTGCAGGTTTGAGTCCGGGTTTTGTCAGAGAGAAGGAATCCAGCGGTCGAATAGAGTTTGCTCCCTGTGGTGACCCCCGAAGAAAACAGCAGCTGAGAGAAAAACACAGAGTAGCATCACWGCTATATTTTAGCTTATGTCCAGCTCTAAACAAACACATTCAGCACCTGTTACCTGGGCTGGCAAAATCAGACACGACGAGGGTTTTTTTTTCTTTTTGTTGTCAAATTCTTCATCGCAAAAGTTACAAAATGAAAAGACAAATTGTTTCAACAAAAAAAAATCCATCCAGAGGACCTGACCTGGATTATTGAGAATGYATCAGGACAGAATGATACATACTGTATTTATTCATGGGGTAGTATTATACACAAGTTATTGGTGATTAGATTTTTTTATGCCTTTTAAGCTCAAAAATGATGATCTAATTATACTCAAGATTGTATTAAACATGAATAAATATGGTAGTTTGTTTGTAATTTGGTGACTTATCACCTCGAAAACAAGCTGGTTTTGTTTACAAGAGCGCCGATTTGAAAACTCGATTCGTTTTGGTCTGGAGTGACATCATCAGGAATACCAGACGAACATTTAAAAAGGTAACGGCTTCACAATGACGCCAAACGAAACACGAAGGGATTTCCTGCAGAGAAAAATGTCCGTTTTCAATGAAAATTACAAAAGTTCATAAATCACAAGGATTGTTTTGAAGAAACTTTGATTTAAAACTAAATTAGGAAGATTTGATGCCGATTTGATGCTGATCTTTATGGACTCATTTTTATCCAAATCTCATTTACGGTAAAACTAAATGTGCTTGTTAAGGAAGAACAACAATAACCATAGCAACACAATTATTTACAAACTGTTTCTTCTCTTCAGCAAAAAACGTACAAAAAAAGAGGCATATATTAAAAAAAGGTACAAAATAAAATATTTTTKGAGGTTTTTTACAATATTCTGAACAATTAGTCCTCTCTTAGGTTGTTTTTCGAACATGTTTACTCGTACGACAAGAAGCATTTCTGCGGCGTACTCACAGCTGAAGTTGGAGGAGATGGAGTTCCCGGCCAGGAGGCTGTTGACGGTAATCTGATAGATGATGTGGAGCAGCAGGAAGGACATACTGGTGAAGCAGAGGGACTGCAGCAGACGCCCTGTGTGGCCTGAAAGGTGCAGGGGAAAAAAAAAAAAACAACAAGTATTTTTACTGGTTTGGTTTTCGACATGCAGAACTTTCTGTGTTGTGCAATAAATATAATAAAAGCTCTTGGTTTAAGAGCAGAAAGAGGAATGTATTTTAGGACAGACAGCTGTTTCTGATTCCACATGACGTCGATCTGATGCTACACGGTCAGGAGCTGCAGGGAGAGAGATCACAATGCAAAAAAAACTGCTGGCACCGGCGCCGAGCCAAGTTTATTTCTGTAGAAAAGTCAAATAAACACTCAGGCGGGCCACAAGACCTTTAATTCATTATTAAAAGGAGCCGAGCCAGCCTCCGCACATCCTGCGTCGACGGCTTTCGCGGCTCCAAAATAAAAACACGACCCRTCTGAGACCTCGGAAGACGTGAAAGGTGTCGACCGGAGGAGCGTTTTTTTCCTGTGACGCAGGTAAAGAACGGAGCGGCCGGAGGACGTGTCGGATCCTGGGGAGGGACGGATGAGAGGAGCTGCCACAGCTGCTCAACACATGGCTGCTTTATAGAGCACCTGCAGGGATTTGGGATCATTTTAGGAGCTGCTGTGGTGGTTATTCATCACCGTGGGACATTTCAGGCTCGTTCTTGTAATAAAAAAAAATTAATGTTTACAAAATCCTTGTGTTTGTTTGTTTTTTTTGAGAGTGAAACAAACAGCAGCTCTGTTTGGTGGTTTTAATCCATCCAGTTAGTTTAAATCGTAATAAATCTGCRAATATTCGGGTCCGGCAGTTAATCACGTGGCAACAATTCCATCTCGTTAAATTTACTGCATCATCGTGGGGAAGTTTTAACAGGATAAAGTCCTGGTTAAAGTGAGACGTTCACACCGAGCCACCGACAGCTGGGGGCGGAGCTTAACATTACGAGCGCTGCAAGACAATGTTTGGATTATTAGACATAAAATGCAGTCATTTCCCATTTCTCTAGGCTTTTAGGGTGGAAGAAAAGGACGCTCTTTTTTTAGTCATGGGGGAAAACAGAAAGTCTGTCTTTGATTCTAATATTTGTGTATCTGGAAACATAATGAAATGATCGAAAAGTGTTCAAATCTAGCCTCAAGTGGAGAAAAACACAAAAGATTCCACCAGGTCATTATTTCCATCCTTCTCTGATCCACCCCTGCTGCTGATCAAATACACCTAATTAATAATAACTAAGCTTCATAAAGTCATGAGTTTTAGCTGCTCTGGAGGATACAGGTGTGTTAACACAACGTCAAAGCGGAAAGACATCAGCAATGATTTCAGAGAAGCATAAAAATAAAATCTCAGATTTTTTTTTTATCCCAAATTGATTTTAATCGATTTTGTTTCCCACTTAACGGAGTGCCTCTGTTTCAGGTGTTGAAACTAATTTGTTGTACTCCTGCTTTTTGTAGCAAAAGCCTTCAAACAGATGTTGCAGTGAGGCTGAAGTCTGAGGTTGTGAAACCAGTTCCAGAAAACTGAAGAAACTGTGCCTTTTTTTTTTTTTTTTTGAGAAGTAGATCCTCTTTGCTAGCTGCCATATTGTCRTGTCGTGTACCAAGCGTCTTGAGGGACAGGTGGGGTGACCTCTGAACTACAGAAGCCCCAAAGAGTGCACTGTTGGAAAAAAAATCCAGATATTCCCAAAATTAAATCTTTATAAATGGCAAATTCGAATTAATTGATTAAATCGATTTATTGCCCGACCCTAGATGTTTACCATAACGCACAGCGGGATGTTTGGATATAAGCAAAGACACCTCAACTCTCAAGCACGGCGGTGGAGGACTGATTATTTGGGCTCTTTGCAGTCAGTCAAGAACTGGAGTCAAACGCGACTCTATTGGTACATCAACTAAAGACTAAAACAGAACAAAGATCCCAAACRCAGCAACTAATCTACAACAGAAAGGCTCAAAAACAATTAAAAAAACCATAATCACGAAGCGACAGTCCAGAACCAAAACACTGAGGCAGACCATCTGAGCAGAGACTAACGTCTGCAAACCTCAAACTGAAACAAAATTCCACAACCATAAAAAGGGAATTCGGTTTTAATTTAAATTTTTGTTAATAGGCGAGAATAAACACCAGATATGTTTGTGAAAAATCTGTAAGTTAGTGGGTTTTGTAAAGTCTGAGGTGTTTTTAGTGATGTTCTGTTTTCAAACTGGCTCCAGTACGCCTACATACTGTTTTGGCATTTTGTAATAGAACACTTTTGTTGTCTTACGGTAGTTTGTGTCTCATCTAAAACATTTTGTCCCAAAATGTTCTCCTGAGAGGGATTATTATTTGCTTGCTCAATAGGAGGCATTGTTTGCCCCCTTTTTTTTTTGGCCATCAATTAGAAAACTGCCCCCATTGACAACAAATACAGCCCCATTAAATGATTTAAGTCCCAATGCAATTTATCCAACGTGAGGCGCWCGGTGCCAGACGTTAACAACGCAGGGAAAAAGTATCTTGGGTTTTAAAAAGATGTGGGTCAGACTCTGCTGAAACATAAACCGGACAAATCAGAAAACAGAAAACATCAAATATTTATACAAATTCACGCAGAAGTGCTAAAGTTCTGCCCTGAGGGAACCCGTCACGTCAAACCGCATGAAGCTTCACGTAACGGCTATTTAAACGCCCTCTACTAATATCAGAGTGACGCTTCATACTCTGTTCAAATCGAATAAGATTTAAATGTCTCGAGTAGATCGCAGAGTAAATCACAAATAACAACATGGTGGGTAAAATGTTTCCCAACCACAAACAGATCCTCGGACACACTGCTCCGCTTGTGGCTTTTTAAAAAGGAAATTACACCTGATGAATTATTCACGTGCAACATTTGGTTTAAATTAACATCCTGGGTTTAGCTGCAGCATGTTCTTCACCATCAGAAGGAGCAAAATGAAACAGACCATCAGAACGCAGCACTTTGTGATAAAAAACCACTTTCYTAAATCCATCTTGGATTAAAAGGCCYGGTTTGCCTTCAGGGAATGCATATCGCCCGCTGAGTTTAACGTCAAAGTTTTAGACTGAAAAAGTTGTAGCATTGTGTGTAATCCCATGCAATAACGTGTATAGCTACTGTCACGTCAACTCGATATTTGTAAAACTGACTGAATTAGAGACCATTTTGTTTGCTAAATATGTAAAAAAAATTGTGGTAGCTAATGCTTAACTGGTAAAAATGTCAAAYGRATAGTGGAAGCTAATGCTAAATATCTAAACAAATAAAATTGTGGAAGCTAATACTCAACAGCTAATTGCTAACGACAAAGACAACTGTCAGTCTGCATCACAGGTCTTCGTCTCCGTCCAGCTGAAGACTGGTGGGACTGACAGATACCCGTTCATGTTAGCTTGTTAGCTAGCTGTTAGCAGACATAAAGTTGGCAGAATTGAACTTAGTGAACCAATCAGTTTCAGCTAACGGTGTTCAAAGTAGGGCTGTGTATTGGCAATAATTTGGTGATACGATACATATTATGACAGAGTGGTCACGATACGATATATCCCGATATATTGCGATACTGTAAGCAAGGCGATATATTGCGATTTTTTTTTGCCCAAAAAAATCTGTTAAATAAAAACCTCTTACTGGAAAAAAAATGAAAAGAGTTTTATGTCACGAGGAGAATGCCGAGCTCGAGACACTAGAGCGTGCGCTATATGTGCATGCCTGCCTGCCTTCCGTAACGTTGGAAAAAAGAGCGCACAAAACACTTAATTTGTCTTAAAATACAGACATTCTGACAAATAAGTAACTGTTTGTAACCTTACCTCAGCTTAGAAGGCAGAGGGTGTCGGTCTTTTCCGCTCAGATTCAGCTATAGGAGCATGAAGCTAATGTTTACTCACAATGCTAATGCTACCCTTACTCTCTGGCGCTCAAGAGGTAGAGGAGCCAAATGGCTGGCTCACTGCTGCCAACTATGGTCAGAGGCTGAACTACAACATAAAAATGAACGGCTGGCAGGAAAGTTGACGTTTTAAACCTTAATAAAAAAATCGATACAGGGCTTTAAAATATCGATACAGTATTGGGAAATGAAATATCGTGATATTTCAGTGTATCGATATTTTCTTACACCCCTAGTTCAAAGTAAGTGAAAAAGCTAATTTGATAAACAAAATGTTATAAGTTAGCTGATTAGCGGGAACCATGCCCACCACTGGTATCTGATTTACTCCACAAAAAACAAAAAGAATTAGATTTTGGTCCCACTGTGTACAGTGAGAACGTAGCTTTAGGGTGTTTGCTGTAACTTCCTGATCATCCTGTCAGCAGGATGACAGGCGGGATACRTGTCCCAGCAGGCAGAATCTCTGACACCATCTGAGCCCTCGAGCACTTCTACTTCAAGATTTATGGTTTTAAGCGAGTCAGATCACCGCAACAATGTAAACAACTAATAAAAAATAAACAAAGATGAAAAATGATCAGCTTCAGGTCATGTTTTCTCTGTGAAAACAAGATAAAATGCCTTTTTTATGTCTGACGTCTTGCGGAAAAACCACAGAAAATGTATACAAACTTGTAATTTGTTCACGTGTCTGGGTTTGCCTTCTTCTTATTTAACCACAGGGAGCCTTGCTGCWGTTTAGAAACACGTCATTTTATCATTACAAGCTTCTTGTATGACATAAGTTTTAACTCCTACCCCTCCTAGTTGACAGAAAAATCTAAGATAAAATTTGTTGTGGTAGTAACGAGGCTTTTTTAACTTGTTGCTTAATTAAAGAAGAAATTTTTAGTTTAACCAGAAAACAAACTTGACAAATAAAGATTTGAAATTCTTGTTACAATATAGTCAGATTAGCAAAATTAATCAATTTAACTTTTATTAATGTAATTTTTATGCCCTAATTTTTACTTTTTTTCCCCCCAGTTAAAAGACGAATGCTGTTCCTGTTTTGCTTAATTTTGTTTTTGGTGCTCTAAATTGGTGTTTACGAGCCACCTGGCAGAGAAAAGTCTACTTTTGAACCTTCCTGCTGCCCTTGGGTCAACACAACCCACCACCCAGGCGCAGCAGGAGGGTTCATTAATTTGAAGGTAAATTACCTGCTTCCAAAGCCATAATTTAGTAAATATTAAATCTTTTTAGGGAATCTGTTCATCTGAATGAGATTTTCTTTGTTCCAGTGCTACTTTACAAAAGTAAAATGTTTAGTTATTTGTATTAGTTTCATTAAAACCTGAGTTTGGTGCTGATAGGACATTTTATATGATTAAAAAATGAGCGTATAAACTCCAATATAACTGTTCAAGTCGACGGCCGTCAGACCGCTGATCCGGACCTTTTTCTTTTTAACTATTGATGAGCTTGTAAGTGGTCCACTCTGTGCTCCACACCCCACCCCTCCTCCTTTACTTCCTGGTTGTTATTTCAGCTGGAGACGAGGAGCCGAACGTCGGCCTGGACGCGGCTCCCTCCTCCGACGTGTCTTTATGTATTATTAAACGCTGCATGCGGTCTCCTCCAGAAACCCCGCGGAGGTTCTGGGAGGTGTGCCGTTTAGTATTTTGCGGTGGAGGCTGAAATCCCACATACATCATCCGTAAGGAGAACAGTCACCTCAGTCACTTCTCAGAAACCGCACAGCTCCATTGTGATTTATACGACTGGTCATAAAAAGGAGGATTTAGAAGACGGTTTATGAGCTTTAATGAACTAAATCGAAACGTTTAAAAGCTTTACTTCAAACTTCACCTGGGCAGAATCAAGTTTTCTCTCATTTCTTGTGTCTCGTTTTATGTCTTGGCTGCTACCACGGCAAAAACATTTTTGCGTCGGCTAATGTTTAGCTGTGGCGGCCATCTTGAACTGGGCTGACTCCAAAAGTTAATCAGTTGTAGACGAACACCTGATGGTCACTTTCTGAAGGTTTTACGAAAACGTATCCTGTGGTTCTTGAGATATTTTGCTAACAGACGTTGACACGAACAATAAAATCCAAATTTAATGGCAAAAACATAACAGAAAATATACCGCTCTGTGTATGTGTTGAAACAGAACACTGACTACTAACACGGCAAACTTTAGCTCAACGTCTGAAAAACTGAGTGAACTGTAGCCATTTTCGTGTTTTCTAAATTCAGCTAACTGTGGCGGCCATATTGAATTGGAAAGACTCCGAAACCTAATCAGCTGTAAAACAACATCTAGCAATTGCTTTCTGAGAGGTTCATTTAAATCCACCACGTTGTTCATGAGATATTTTGCTAACAGACAAACAAGCTCACTTCAATAGCGTAATAGCAAAGTTATAAAAGGAAATCAGCTAGCACTCAAAGCACATCCTGGAGATYWCGCTCAGCTACTACCACGCCAAATTTTAGCTCAATATTAATGAAAATTAGCAAGCCGTAGCTAATTTTGCGTTTGCTGTGGCGGCCATCTTGGATGGAAGCGACTACTTTCTGGGAATTTCATTAAAATTTTCCCTGAAGGTCTTGAGGTATTTTGCTAACAGATGAACAAACATGGGGAAAAAGAGCAGAGGACAGCGATAACCTGTTTGTTTTCCCTTTTCCAGTAACTGCAGTGCTTCTTTCCTCTTTAAAAAAACATTTATGTTTATGTTTTATCATTAATAGGGGAGCTACCGGTGCAACTAAAACAAACCTCAGCCTGCGGCCTCAGTTCCCATCAAAGCACACTTCAGATCTCCAAGCGACGGATCAAATCTTTTATATATACGTATATCTGAGATCTGGCGAACGGTGGATCGGTTTTTATTATTACAGATGGAATCAGGCCGGCGTTCACYGAGATTACATTTCAGGGAGCGAACGAGGAGCCAAATCCAACCTCATCACAGACGGACCYGGGTCTCCTGCAGAACGGCTGGTTCAGATTACAGAAGGACAACAGTCRAACCAAAGCTTTCACGGGGAAACGCTCCAAAACGTCCTCCGGGCTAAAAAACAACGCTAAACATTTTTTTTATTTTTACTAGTCTCAAAGGTTACCTTGCATCGTTGTGCACGTGGGCTCCGGGAAGAGAGGAATGAGCAGGAGGTAGATGAGGTAGACGAAGGACAGGACGTTGTACCTGAACAGGCAAGCTGCAGGGAGAAAAACACAAATCTGTAACTAGATCAGAACAAACAAGAACTTCTTTTATTATTTTTTTTTTTTCATGATTCCAACATAAAGCCTAACAGGAAATAAAGGGCAGCAGCTCTGCACCGGGATCGACACACAGGTCAACAACAAAAAACACGATTTTAGAGAAACATCTGGTTAAAATCATTAAAAATGTTCCCGGTGTCCGAAAGCTGCTCCAGAACATTCCAACAGATTTAAACTTCAACACTTACAAGCCTCATTATGGCTCACCTGCACTTCATCACACAGACAAAAATAATAATCTGCATTTAATTTAGTTACTTAAACGCTCGCTTGAAAAAATTATCTGAAAGTTAAGAAAATAGTTTTTTTTTCAGAATTTTGACTTTTTTTCTGATTCTCAGAATTCAAATTTTAAACTCAAAAGTCACCGACTTTTTAGATTAAAATCAGAATTCAGACTTTTTAAGAAATCTGAGAATTCTGAGTTTAGACTACGAATTTTGCCTTTTTTTGTAATCCAAGGTTTAGATTCAGAGTTCTGACATTTTTTACAGAATTCTGATTTTTTTTTCTCAAAATTTTGAATTTAAAAAAAAATTCTGGACATTTTTGAATTTTCACAATTCTGAGACCGAAGTAAAAACTTTTCTCTGAATTCCAACATTACAG